ACACCAGAGGTATAGGGTTAGGGGAAGGCTGATGGAGACCTTCATACCAGCCAAACATGGCAGCGGGAAGTACTATAGCTTTATAATAAGTCGTGACATGAGATACTATTAATCCTTCCACTTTGTTCTTTTTCAAAGTTGCTTTGGCTATCCTAGATCCTTTCTCTATGAAGGACCTAGAAGTTTAGCATTTTCCTATGAAGTTTAGAAAATAAAAACAAAATTTAAAAAAGCAAAACAAAAACCTGCTGGGATATTGATTGTGATTTCATTGAATCTGTAGATACATTTGGTGGAGAGTTGGCATCTTAACAATGCTGAGTCCTCCAATTTTTGAACACGTATATCTCTTCATTGATTTGGGTGGGTCTTCTTTAATTTTTTTCAGCAGTGTTTTTTAGTTTTCCTTCTATAGATCTTTATGTGCTTTGTTATGTTTATCTCTAAGCAGTTCATATTTTCTGATGTTAATGTAAAGGTATTATTTAGGAAAAATTTTGTTATTTCTGATTGCTTATCAATAGTACATGGAAATACAATTGCTTTTGGTATATTGATCTTGTATTCTGCAACCTTGCTGTTAAGGACTGAATTACATTCCTACCACCAAATGTATATATTGAAATCTTAACCCCTAGTATCTCTGAATGTGACTGTATTGGAGAAAGGGTCTTTACAAAGGTAATTAAGATTAAATGATTCATTAAGGTGGGTCCTAATCCAATATGATTGGCATCCTTACAAGAAGAGAAGGCTAGGACATAGACATGCACAGAGGGAAGATTATGTCAAGATACAGTGAGATGGCCGGGCCCAGTGGCTCAGCCTGTAATCCCAGCACTTTGGGAGGCTGAGACGAGTGGATTACCTGAGCCCATGGGTCGGAAATCAGCCCAGGCAACTTGGCAAGACCTTGTCTCTAAGATAGATAGATAGACAGATAGATACAGTGAAATGGTGGCCATCTACAAGCCAAGGAGAGAGACGTCAGAAGAAACCCACCCTACCAACACCTTGATCTCAAATTTCCAGCCTCTAGAATTGTGAGAACATAAATTTCTAGCAAACTAATACATTGCTAAACTTACTTATTAATTCTAGTAGTTTTCTTGTAGATCCAATAGGATCTTCTACATAGACAATCCTTTAATCTAAATAAAGATGGTTTTACTTCTTCCAGTTTGAATGTCTTTTTTCCTTTTTCTTATCTGATTGTACAGGCTAGGACTTCAAGTACAATATTGAATAAAAATGTCTAGAGCAAACGTCCTAACCTTGTTCCTAATTTTAGAGGGCAAATGTTTGGTACTTCATCATTAAGTTTAATATTTGCTGTAGGTTTTTCATAGATGCTCTTCATCAAGTTGAGGACATTTCCTTCTAGCCTTAGTTTCATAGTTTTGATTTTAAAATTCTATTTAGAAAGTAGGCAAATATGTACCCTGAAAAGTTAGGCAAACCTTCCCTACTGTTGCAGATAGCTAGCGTAGACTATAGAGAAGTGGGCCGGGCATAGTGGCTCATGCCTGTAATCCCCAGCACTTTGGGAGGCCAAGGCAGGTGGATGGCTTGAGCCCAGGAGTTTGAAATCAGCCTAGGAAACATAGTGAGACCTCATCTCTATTTAAAAAA